TATCTATCCTATTGTTTTAATGCTAGAGAGCTTATAGTTTTGTTCAGAAAAAAATATATATATAGCTGCTTTCTTTAGACTTTACTTTTATAAGTTATTTTTCCAAGTTATTGATGTACATGGGCTGAGCCTTCAGATTGTGGTAGAGAGAGATGCATATATTTCCCTAAATCACAGTGTCAAGAACAGGAGAAGAAGATACATCTTAAAATTCAGTAATCAAAGGAAAGCAATTACAGTGTGAGACAGCCCCTTGATCAATTTTTTCTTGTTGCTTGGGAAAGAGAAAAAAAATCTATTGGTTTCTCTGATTTTCAGAATATATGTAATAGTGATGAAAAACATCTTCTAATAATAAACCTCTCTAGTTCTTTTCAATCTCCTCAGATAAATACTATTCATAATGGTACATTTATTTGAAGATAACACAAGTTATCTATTTCCTCTTGTCAGGAGATCCTTCAATCCCCTTATTTACATAACAATGACTCATCTTTGGAAACTGTGATTCAGGGTAATATACACTTTTTGAGGTGAGAAAACAACATGTTGTCTATCTATCTAGGCTTGTGAAATTGTTTCTTATCAGGGACTCATTTTGGGAATTGAAAATAAGGCATGTGGACACTTTTCTAAATGATTAACATTCCCAAGGATTATAACTTGTAATTTATTTGAATACAATAAATAAAGAAGAGAGTATTAATGTGCAATATTTAGAGTTCTAAACCGTCCATAATATTAACACTCATTATACGTGAGAAAATGGATCCAGAGAGGTTCTGTGATTGCCTCAATGTTCCAAGAGAGCCAGGGCTGGAGCTGGGATTTGCATCACTTATCTACAAATTACAAGTTAATTTCTAATATGTCCCAAAAAGATGAGTATAGTGATATATCTCACACATAGCACTATGTTAATAGACATAGCGTGAACTATTTAGTCATTTCCTTTCTTCCCTGTTTCATCTTTGTGATTATTATTGTTGTTGTTGTTGTTATTACTATTTAATGTTGTTTTTGTTATTTATTTGGGCTTTCATCTCCTTACCAGGGGGCTTACATAGCACAATAACTATATATTAATATTTAGATTGCTAAAGACAGTAAAAAAATAATTACAAATGAAACATCTATTGAAACTCAAGTACTATTAAAATATAGACTCTGTAGACCCACCTGCAAAGATTATTTATCACTAGCCTCATAGTTGAACCTGCAGACTGAAATTTTTGTAAGTTTTTCAGATGTTTTGGTTGTCATTGGCTCTCTACTCTGCAATGCACTTGGAGAAACACTGCTCTAAATTACACTCTACTTAGGGAAAAACATCCTAACTCTTTGTAAGTAATTGGAATATATATAAAAAAAAAATCAACAACCATGAAGACATAGGAGAGTAATGTTCTCTTAGCTGGAAGACTTCTGTTTATTAGGAATTTGGGTAATTTGGGGTCATCTTCTATTGGCAGGCAATTTCAATAGAACAGCCTACCATCCCAGAAAAGACAGATATGGGGAAAGAGATGAAGACACAGTGCAGTGTCTCCTGGGAGACAAAAATAAATAAATGAAACAAAATAAAATAAAAATAAAGGAACTACCTTGATGAAAGAGATAAGCCTCATCTTTTGATATTTAACTAAGTGCCTTATAGGACTGTTTCTCTTTCCTTTCATCATCAAACCCTAGCCAATAAAAGAAATTACAAGCTAAGCCCTATATGACTTGAAATATTAAAAACTGCAGCTGAAATAAACCAAGTACCATGGCAAACAGTCAATGACTGAGGTAGTACATGTGGTATCCCTGGTCTGTTACACTCTGTGATTAAAATTCCTCAACAGAGTGATGTCAAAAAAATAGCTATTAGTGAGGTCAGAAAATTCCTATTTTTGCCCCATTTCTACCAACAACATTCTATAGGACCTTGGGCCAGTACCTAACCTCTTTGACTTTCAAATCTCTCATCTTCAAAAAAAAAAAAAAAGAGGGTGAATTATATTGGCTAAGGTGGACTTTAGTTCTAACATAATTATCCCATGAATTATAGAGTAAAACTTAATTGCTGTATGTATTCAATTGTTAAAGAACAAGACATATCTAAAGAGTTTTCTCATCTGTCCTTTTATCATCACCATTACAGTAAAATTAGAAAGAACCAGTTATTTCTTACAGTGCAGCTCAAATTAGATAATATAATTTGAAACCTCTTACACAAACCTTTCAATTTTATTTTTAATATCTACTTGAAATATTAGCAAACATTTTGGGCCCTGAAGTGAGGCTTAACAATGTCTTTGGCCATATGGGAATCATTTGAGAAACACCAGAAGGCCCTACCTGGACAAAATCACTTCCCAAATACTACCAGGAATGCCTATCCTTTGAGTCATTCTTAAGGATGAAAGCTGTAAAAGAATTTCTTTGCACTTCACAAATATATGTGAAAGAGAAGAGAGTTCGGTTTATCTCCTATTAGCCAATAATATCAGTAATACTTTGATATGATTCAGAGGCAGATCCAGATATTGAAGGGCCTGAAATGTTGTACAATTACAGGATCCTCTTATTTATTTTTATTCATTTTTTTACAGGACCCTTTTTAAAAACATAATACAAAACTATTAGCATGAAAGTGGATTTTAAAGGAAGTTTTTATTTATGATAAGAGAAGAAATCAAACCAGATTACTGCAGCTTTAGAGATTCAGGTTCCTTTTTTCTGAGACCTTTTTAAACAATTTACTAAAAAGTAATTATATAGAAATATTCTCTAAATTCAGTCTCAATTTCACTGCCCTCCTACAACATTTTATGGTACTCAACAACTTCTAGCACTCACAAGGATCCATGCAAGTAGGGTATTAAGTTTAATAAGTATCATGATAGATCATGTATTACTAAATCATCAGATTAACAGGTAGACATGGAACACAAATACTACACAATCAATGTTAAGGGTGGATAGGGAGATCGCAAGCTAAATTTAGGGACTGCTTCAGGTGGGCCACATTCATTCTTCAAGGCCCATATCAAATTAATAATATAGATATAGATGATAGATGATAGATCAATAGAAGATAGATGATAGGTAGATAGATGATAGAAGATAGATAGATAGATAGATAGATAGATAGATAGATAGATGATAGATATAGATGATAGATAGAGAGAGAGATGATAGATAGATGATAGATAAATGATAGATAGATAGATGGATAGTAATAGATAGATGATAGATGAACAAATAAAAGTTTTCTTTGCTAAAGTTAACCATTTCTCCCTTTGCACATCCAATGTGTGTTGCCTTTATATCTTATCTCATTTTTCTTATCTCTAATTTTTTTCCTCTCCTTTCTCATCTCACACACATACACAAAGGGATTACACACAGAGCTATCTGCACATGCACATGGACCTATATGTGTACATATGTCCATAAACACAGACGTCCCCAAACACACACAAGCTGCTCAGAGAAACATCTGTGCTAAGTTATATCTGTGTTCTCTGTGGCACTTTATACACAGGGATCTCCTAAAATTTGGGGGAGGAAATTAGCTCCTGTCTAGCTAGTGAGGGAACTAGGACTGGAATTCACCAGGCTTCAGCCAAGCCTTTTGATAGGTGAAAGCCCTATCCAATCTCACAGCTTCAACTGCCACCTCTAAATGATGACACGAAGTATCTATCCCCTGTCCAGAACTCATTTAGAGCTTCATTCTCTCATTGCGTTATCTGGTCAGATTCTTTCTTCTGATTATCTTGTAGGTATCAAACTCAGTACTCCTAAAATGAAAGTCATCCTCTTTCCAACGCAGTGGAGCTGCGTTCCTTTTCCTTTCATTCAGCCCTGAAGCTGGAAACCTTAATGTCATTATTGAAGAGGATCACATGCTTGTCCCCGGCACCCTGCTATTGTGTGACAATCTCAATTCTTTCTTGTTTTAGTTTTTTTTTTTTTTTCATCTAGTGCCTCTTCTCTTTTTTTACCACCATAATTCAAGTCTGGGCTTTTATTCTCTCTCCCTTGCATCATTGAAATAATGTAATTGATTTACTGATCTCTGCTCCAATGTCAGTATATACATCTCAGCAAAATACCAGTTCCCTATTCAAAACCTCAGTAGTCCAAATTACTTACAGATTAATGTCTGAATGTCTTACTCTGTTAATTAAGGCCCTCTATTTTTTTGTACTCCATTTATATTTCCAAATTTGCCTAGTATTATTTCCCTTCACATACTAACATGCCAGAAAAGCTGATATTCCTACTTCTGATAGTTTCCCCTCATTTTGTCTTTATTCTTACAGTTTCATTTACTTTTTCTCCTATCATTTTCCTACTTACTCAAATCCTAACTATTCCTGTACGTGCCTCAGATGTACATAATACTTTAGGTATATCTTGTTCATGGCACTCATCACTTCCTATCTTTGTTTACAATGATTTTTATATATCACTCTTCTTCCATACTTGAGTATATGTTGTTTCTTTCTCTAAGAATACACTTGCTGAGTACTTGAGAGCACAGTCCATGGCTGATTTATCTTCATAACTCCATAATGCCCAGCAAAATGTTTGAATATTATAGATATTCAATAAATGTATGTTAACTTAATGAATAAGTATTCATTTATATGACAATGATAAAGTTTTTACTTATGTAGAAAAAACCCAATTACTTACCATGGGAAATGTTCATATTTATTTTTTCCCCTGGAATATAATCAGTAACTAAACCAGCAGTGTTGACTAACATTTTCAATAATTATTATTTAAAATGGTATTGAACATACATGCTTAACGTCCTTAAAGGAAGACTGGGATTTCAGATTGAGTCTAAGTATCCTTCTTATTTCAGTGCATCAAAAATTTAGCAGTCATCAAACAGACATTAACAACCAAACTACAGTGCTTTTCAATGTAACATTTCCAGAATTGGAAGGAAATTGTGACATTCATTTTATGCTTAAAGAATGTTCTTTATTTCCCAGGTGTGATGGGAGAATATGAGCCGAAAATTGAGGTCCATTTTCCTTTCACAGTTACAGCTGCTAAGGGAACAACTGTTAAGATGGAATGCTTTGCACTTGGCAAGTAAGTACATATTCTTCCATAATTAGACACAATTGTTTATTAAAATGTGACATATCTTATTTTTGGATCACTTACTTTGTTAGATTTCATTTCCCCAGAAGTTCCTTGGTGGTTATTCATTTAAAAAGCGGGGAGGGGCAAATGGTAACTGATGAAGTAATCAGTTATAATGATCTTTCTAGTGGTTTCTATGAACAATAATGTATGTAGTTTTGCTATTTTAACATAAAGGAGTCTTCTTTAAATAAAAGAATAGCTTTATCTCTCTGCCTACATGTCTTAAATTTCCAATGTCATTCTTAAATTTCATTCAGCAATGATATAAATAAAAAGTGGATAAAAAGATAAGGTGCTATCTGCTCCTCATGCAAAAAATATAGATTCTGATAAGATATAATGAGACAACAGCATAAAAACATAAAAATGATAGTTGCAGCGAACCAACTGATTACTTTAGTATCTTCTGAAAGAATGCTAACATTATAATACCAGCTGTCAATATCTACAACATGTAATCATTCCCCAAATCAGAAAGATGATTTATATCACACTATAATGACTGCTATACTTAATGATTCTATTTCTGAGGGTTTAAATCCTATGATATATAATCTCTTGTCAATGATGTTTATAATATGAGTATTGAGCATAGATGCAGGAGTGAGATTTTGATTATATTTGATTAGAGTATTATGATTTATTTTAAACAGGGTGTTGTTTTGGTTTTTTTAGGGTGATAAGACCTCAGGGTCCTTTCTAGACTCCATAATTATAATTTGCATAAATGCATCTCTATCAGAGTTACTAATCATTTAACTTCAGTTGTGGCGAGCTAGCTCCCACAACCTAGCTATAAAGCACTTGAGATAAAACAGGCTATATAAATGTGCTTAAAGTAGGTTTAGCCTACGGGTGAGGAAAATATTAGTAAATACAAAAAATTCAGCTAGTAAGAAGAGGTTGAGGGCATAAACATAGTTAAACACCATGGTTTCTTTTTTTTAATTTCAAAATGGATTGAAATTAAATGCATACATGTGCAATTCTATTTAAATCTAAGTAGAAGTGGGATGCCTGGGTAGAGCAGTCAGTTAAGCATCCAACTCTTGGTTTCTGTTCGTTAGTGATCTCAGGGTGGTGATATAGAGCCCTGCATTGGTCTCCACGCTTAGCATGGAGTCTGCTTGAGATTCTCTCTCCCTTTGCCCCTCCTGCTCATGCTCTCTCTCTAAAATAAATAAATAAATCTTTTAAAAAACAAATCTAAGTAGAAACATGATCATAATAGACTAAAAACAAAATAAGTTGTCATGTGGTCCATTTTTAAGCAAAATATGTCTACAAGTAGAAATATATTTCAAGAACTTAAAATTCATCTAGGAGGTATTTGGGCCGATATCCAAGGAAGCCTTCCAAACCCAAAGATATTGGTTAAATGCACACGATTAAATCATACCTTAAAAGTCTTGTTTTTCACCATTTTCCCATATTGTGGTGTCAAATATTCCTGGAAATGTCCTGAGTAATCATTTCAATTCTGATAAATACAAAAATAATATGTTTTGACTTGATATCAGAGGTTTTCATATATCCTGCAGTTAAATAATTCTAAAATGCCAGAATTTGTACTAATGGAAGGTCATATTGTAAAACAAATTACAGAAATGGATTTATGGAGAAAAAAACAACATGGGATATTTCCCCAGGCAAGCTTATTTAATAAGTTAGATGTGTTTGCTTTTGGAATTCTTGAAATATGTTTAGTAAATTGATCCTTAAAGTCCCTTTCATTCTGGGTGGAATTGAACAGTCAAATTTTGTTATTTTAATACTTTATTTTCTTCAACTTTTTCCACTTCTTTGTTACTCCTCCTCATCTCCCCCCAACATAAGTAAAAAAAAGGGGGGGGCGATAAAGACGCACAACCTGTCAAGAAAGTCTCTGTTGCTCATCTGATATCCTTTTCACAAAGTGTCATAATTATGAAAAAAAAAAAAAAACATAGGGCACCTGGGTGGCTCAGTTGGTTAAGCGCCTGCTCAGGTCATGATGTTGGGGTCCCAGGATCCAGGCCTGCATCAGGGTCCCTGTTCAGTGAGGCGTCTGCTTCCCCCTCTCCCTTTGCCCCTTCTCCTGCTCGTGTTCTCTCTCTGGCTCTCTCTCTCTCTCTCAAATAAATAAATAAAATCTTAAAAAAGAGAGAGAGAAAAGAAAAAGAAGACATGTTATGAAGAGATCTACCTCTACCTAAAGACTAACCTACCACTGATGAAAGTAAACAAAATTTAAAAAATAACATCTTTATATGTGTTAATTCTTTTAGAGTACCTTATTATGTGGAATAGATCTTTGTTGCATACCAACATAATCATCGCAATTTCAAATTAATACCTGAGCATCTGCTTAGTTCCCGCAACTCACCTGAGCTACTTTCCACTTTAAAAAGGACGATTTTCTGGTGGACTTTGCCTGTCCAGGAGCTTTATTATCTGTCACTAGATACCAATCAGGACTTTGCCACTCAAGCTGATTTCCCCCCTCCGTCTGTCCACATAATGTTTTCTTTTTTTTAAGATTTTATTTATTTATTTATTTGGAGAGAGAGAGACCACATGCAGGGGCAGTGGCAGGGGAAGAGGGAGAAGCAGGCTCCCGGCCGAGCAGGGAGCCCTACTCGGGGCTTAGTCCCAGGACGCTGGGATTATGACCTGAGCCGAAGGTAGAAACCTAACTGACTGAGCCACCCAGGCGCCCGAATCCACATAATGTGTTAATCAAATGTTCTTCATATAGTATTATAACCAAATTGTGGCATAGAGGATGCCAAGTTCTTTGCTATCTCATGTCCTTTACACTTGCTGTTCCTTCTATGGGGCACACTCTTCCCTGTTCTTTCCATGCTAGGTCCTTCTTATCCTCTGGCCTCAACTTAAATATTACCCTCTAAAGAGGCCAGGTGTGACTACTTTCTGTAACTGACACTCATTATTCTCTATCTAAATATTTGTGTTTTTTCATCATGACCCTTAACACAGTTTTTTTAAATACAATTTTTATATTTATTTATTTTTATTATTTTTAATTAATTTTTTAATTTTTTCAATTTTATTTTATTATGTTATGTTAGCCACCATACATTACATTAGTTTTTGATGTAGTGTTCCATGATTCATTGTTTGCATATAACACCCAGTGCTCCATTCAGTACATGCCCTCTTTAATACCCATCACCAGGCTAATCCATCCCCCCACCCCCTCCCCTCTAAAACCCTCAGTTTGTTTCTCAGAGTCCATAGTCTCTCATGGTTCATCTCTTCCTCCAATTCCCCCTTCTTCATTTTTCCCTTCCTACTATTTGTTTTTTAACATATAATGTATTATTTGTTTCAGAGGTATCATATGATCTCACTGATATGAGGACTTCTTTTTTTTAATATTTTTTATTTTTTTATTGTTATGTTAATCACCATACATTACATCATTAGTTTTTGATGTAGTGTTCCATGATTCATTGTTTGTGCATAACACCCAGTGCTCCATGCAGAACGTGCCCTCTTTAATACCCATCACCAGGCTAACCCATCCCGCCACCCCCTCCCCTCTAGAATCCTCAGTTTGTTTCTCAGAGTCCATGGTCTCTCATGGTTCGTCTCCCCCTCCGACTTACTCCCCTTCATTCTTCCCCTCCTGCTAACTTCTTTTTTTTTTTTCTTAACATATATTGCATTATTTGTTTCAGAAGTACAGATCTGTGATTCAACAGTTTTGCACAATTCACAGCGCTCACCATAGCATGTACCCTCCCCAATGTCTATCACCCAGCCACCCCATCCCACCCACCCCCCACCACTCCAGCAACCATCAGTTTGTTCCCTGAGATTAAGAATTCCTCATATCAGTGAGGTCACATGATGCATGTTTTTCTCTGATTGACTTATTTCACTTAGCATAACACCCTCCGGTTCCATCCACATCGTTGCAAATGGCAGGATCTCATTCCTTTTGATGGCTGCATAATATTCCATTGTGTATATATACCACATCTTCTTTATCCATTCATCTGTCGTTGGACATCTTGGCTCTTTCCACAGTTTGGCTATTGTGGACATTGCTGCTATAAACATTGGAGTGCATGTACCCCTTCGAGTCCCTACATTTTTATCTTTGTGGTAAACACCCAGTAGGGCAATTGCTGGATCGTATGGTAGCTCTATTTTCAACTGTTTGAGGAACCTCCATACTGTTTTAACCCTTAATACAGTTTTAAATTATTAAATTATTTACATATGAGTTTCTCTATTTTTTCCCCTTTGGATCAGTCAGAAATCCAGGTGGAAACAGGGTCAAACCATTATGGTTCAAAAGAGTTTAATAAAGGCACAAGTTGAAAATCAATGAGCAAGGCTAAGAGAACCAAGAAAAGAAACTGAGGCATTTGTAGACTAGTGATAACAAGAAGTCATTCCCACCCTTAAGTCAGAATGAAGAGGGTGGAGGAGATGGTGTCACCAGAACCAGGGACAGCTGGAGATATGGAGAGGGCTGGGCCCCCCAAAGCAACTATACTAACTAAAGCCATGATGAAACGCATTAAAAGAACACAGCTGAGGAAAGGATCTGGAAATTCATACACTGATTTCTTTTTCCTCATGCCATCTGAGCTCCTCTGATGGTTCTCTTGGCTAATGGCAAAGAGAAGCCCCCTTAAAAGCCCAGAGGATGTTATTTGCAGCATTCAAAACAAGGCAGAGAGTCTGGAGAAGAGGAGGGTGACAGGCAAGGGAGGCAAAAAGAATAATCAGTAAGTCCCCATCAAGTTTCAAACCCCACGAGGGCAAGAATCATGACTTATTCTTCACTTATTCCTAGTGCCTACCACAGTGCCTGGCACATAAGAGCACTCAGGAAATATCTGTTGAAGGAATGAATAAATTCAAAAAGACTGTGTCTACTTAATCCAATTCACTCTTTATTAGTAACATGTAATAAATAAAAAACA